AAAAAGAGTGGTAATCATATTAATTGCTGAAAAACGGGTGGTTTAACGAGGCGATTCACAAATTGGCTTGGGAAGTGGCTGCACTGCAGCAATAGATTCCTGGGCAAATGTTAACAGCATCCTCTACTCATGTGACAGCAAGGCATCTAGGACCTACACCATCAGTTAGCACTCCTGTAGCGACTTTCCCACTACAGTTCTCCCCAGTTAGATTAGCCCTGTTGACAGAACAACCCTTATGACCAAGTGTGTCCCAGTACCAGTCTCAGGTCAAGGTTCTGCTCTTGTCTCTGCGGCAGTACAGCTGTCTGGACTCAGTGAGTCAGCCAAGACAGTGGCTAATCCACCGTTCATCTTTACGTCTGACAACAAAGACGAAAATCTGCCTACCTTCTTCACCCGAATACAACGTACATCCATTATTGCTATATTTAGAATGAAAGATTACCCCAAATACAGCTACAATGATTATACGTTGTATTCGGGGNCCCGAATACAACGTACATCCATTATTGCTATATTTAGAATGAAAGATTACCCCAAATACAGCTACAATGATTATACGTTGTATTCGGGGGAAGAAGGTAGTTGGCTGATAGCAGCAAGAATCTACATGGGGATGAGGGATACGCCGCTGGACTGGGGCAAGCAGCTGTAGCAGTGTGCTATTTAAGTGCAACTGTGCAGAACTAGCTCGCTGAGACGATAGTGGAGGAAGGATGTAAGGCGACCTTGCCAGCATGGGCGGCACGGTACACTGTGGATGAGCTCCTGGAACCGATGAGAGAAGGGGTCCAAGATCGAACGTCTGCTCAAAGCACACAAGTGGTTCACGGGGACCTCCACTTTCAGCTCCTGACTAACGGGTCCAAAACTTAAATTAGGGTTTGGGGGTCAAATTTTATGTTTTATTTCTGCTTCGTTTTTTTTGGGCCTTTTTTTTTTTTTTTTTTTTGGTTTAAGGTTGCTGTGAGCCAAATTTGGTATCATTTGGGCCATTGGAATTCCTCTGACGAGATTTTGAAATTTCTCAAGATTTCTGAAATTGAAATGCTGGCGAAATTTCATGAATGTGCACTTTTGCCTTGCTGTTTTATAGTTTTCTTTAGGTTTTTTTTTTTTTTTTTTTTTTTTTTTTTGTAAGTAGTTAGTATGATCTCCACTCTATGAATTGGTGGCAAGTTTGGTTAAAATGACCCTTTGGTTCTGTTATAAATGGCATGAGAGGTCGTCTGAAAATTGAGGCCTTCGTTAACCGCCGATGAGCACGCCTTTGGATAGTTTTCGCGAGTGGCCTTGCATCTGTAGGCTAAACTGCAAGAATGCAGAAGGGGTAGGAATAGCAGGAAAGAAAACTTTGTTTCATGTCCAAAAGAGGCCATGCCACATTCGACTATTCTATAGTGATGGTATGGAGTTGTGGCCATGCGGGCAAAAAGTGTGTACATAGAAACGTTCAAAGAAGCTCTCACAGTCCTCTCCCCTCCTCCATACATTTTTTCTTTCTATTCTTAAACCACCACTACCTTTCACAGGCAAACTCGAAACCTCCTAAGAATGCGGTATGACCTTATACCACAGTCTTCGGAGGCCGGGCGCCACCCGAACAAAATGGCTGGCGCCACCAGCCAAAACAAAACCAAAAAAAAGCTGCGCTAGCGCTTCGGCAAAGCTTCGCGCTCAGTTCTTTTACACCTCGGCAAAAAGAGGCTTGCAGGTTAATGGTGGTTTAAGGCTTGGAGCCACTTTATTTAAATTTCATTTTTTTTCAATTTGTTTTTGTTTTTTTTTCATTTTATTTTGCATCCTATTTTAATTTTCATTTTATTCTATTATCCCGATGATCTGTCATTTAACTTCATTTAATTTAATTTATCTTTGCTTTACACTGCTTACCTAGGCTACCAGAGTGGCCTGGGACCATTTGCCTGGCCGGTGTTACGGACTTCGCCAGGGCTCGATCCCTGGTCTATCTTTTGCTGTTTCGGCTGCATCCCGTTTTCGGCCTGGCACCCTTTTTCCAAACCCCTCCTTTGGTACCGTAGGATTTTGGACAACTGGCGCCATGCTGCAATTCGGGCACCACTTTCAA